GACTGAGTGGAGGCGAAATTTGAAAAAAAAACCAATTACATCTAAAGAGACACTTGGAGCAAAAGAAATGTGATTTGAAAAATGAATTCTGCTTTTTTGAAGTCTATTTTTGGATCTTAAAACCAGCAGTTTGTTGTACTGAGCGGGCTATTTTCAAAGCCATGAGAGGCTAAAAACAGCGTCCTTCTTTCTACTCGCTCTTGACGTGCAGTTATTAAAAAAATAAGAGACAGAAGCTTTGCGTGAGTGCAACCATTTCCCAGCAAATACCATATTGTGGCTCCACAGTGGTGCACGCAGAAGATGAGAGTGCACCAGAGAGGAGGTAGAAAGAGTGGTAATGACTGAGGAGGGGGGGATAAATGGAGGTAGAGATGTGCTGACAGGACTGCCAGACTTGACTGAAAGGAGGGAAGGACGCTGGTGTCATCCCATCTGTTTTTTTGTTTTATTTCTCATTTTATTCCCTTTTTTTATTGCCTGAGTTATTCTTTTGCTTTGCGACTTTCAGCATAAACTCCTCACCAGACGTGAAGTGGAGCAGATGCACGTTTTTTTCCCCGTTTGTGATTTTAAACAAACACACGAGCTGTCCGTCCTTCGCTCACTCGCTCGTCGTATGTGCATTAAATTGCATCAGCACCAGCTGACGTTGGAGCCGAGTCAGTTGGCTGAAGAACCCTCTAGAAGCATCGTTCTTATCTAAATTATTCACATATTCTCCTGCTGGCTGCATTACAATGCTGCAAACGTGCGTGGTGGCTTGAATGTGGATTGAGAGAAGAAAGTCACATTAGACCAGCTTATGTGTGTGTCTGTGTGTGCGAGTGCACTGTAATGTGATGTCTTCACAGTGGAAGTGAAGCTGTGTGCACTTAGAGAGCAGCATAAACAGTGTCTAATGTGCAGCACTTAGCGAAGACGGGTATGCCGGGGCAGTAACGCCTTCATTCTGTTGAGACCCCGGCCCACTCACTCGTTCAGAAACACAACACTGTTTACCAAACAGGAAGGTTATTAATACTTAACCAGAGGGGGGTTTGTGGCACATCACATCTGTATTTCTTCATCAAATACCTGAAATCTTCTTCACCTGTCAGACATGGTTAAATATTGACACTTATTTTATTATTTATCACTTTTTTTTACTTGAGCATATAACAGATTTTTAGTTCACTAAATGGAAGAGGTGTAAAAGGAGGGCTTTCATGAGTATAAACCATACAAACTTTTATCAGGAAAAAATGCAAAGTGAGCTGACGAGAAGAAAATTTAATCCACTAGCCAGTGAGCTACAGTACCATATTTACCTTTATTTAACCAGGCGTTTAGATCACAGATCTATYTTGAGTACTCCACGCAAACATGAGGAGAACATGCAAACTCCACACAGAATGACTACAGGTCCGATAGGAGAATCAAACCCTGGGCCGTCTTGCTGTGAGGCATCACCACTGAGCCGCTGTTCTGCCAAAATATAAAAATATAAACAAATAAAATAAATATAATATAAAGTATAATATCCCCACTGTATTCCAGTATTAAAACTTGATTTATCTGATTTGATTTAAAAGCACTGATGACTCAACAGGTCCAGTTACGTGGTGGGGGAAACAAAAAAATGTGCAGGGGTACAAAACTGTCATCAAGGTGAAGTTGGGGTTTGATAGTTTTGTGTTACACCGCATCAGCGAGATCTCTGCCAGGCAAAGATTTCAGTGTAGACTGAGGTTTCAACCGGAAACTTTGTGAAACTTTTTGGAAAAGCCTCAAAAAATGTCATCGAGGATCATAGGTTGACTGATTGCATTGTGAGTCAGGTGCTGTCCTGCACTGCATCCATTCAGAACTGGGAGAGGCTTGTGTGAACTTAAAGTGTCTGTGACGTGCAAATACTTCAAATACAAAAAGTAAAATAAAACACTTTTTTATATTTAAGAAATTTGGCATAATACTTGGGATTTTTCCCAATTTGTTACACRCCTGGCATATTTTCTCTTGAACTTAGCTCAGCCAAATTGAAACAGGAAGTGACATCAAAGGGGATTGCTTTAAGAAAAATAACTCCCTAATCTTTGTTTATTGAAACAATATTTTTTGACTCTTCTGTTTCTCGTTGATAGTAACTCAAAATAATCTAAAATAATCTAAAACATCAGATTCTTCTCTACAGTCTGTGTTGTTAGCCACTGTGGCAAAGCTTTGTTTACATCCAATCACTTCCTGTTACTTNTTTTTGACTCTTCTGTTTCTCGTTGATAGTAACTCAAAATAATCTAAAATAATCTAAAACATCAGATTCTTCTCTACAGTCTGTGTTGTTAGCCATTGTGGCAAAGTTTTGTTTACATCCAACCACTTCCTGTTACTTCACATGCAAATATCTCAACATCCGTTCATCTCAGCAGTATGATTTTTTTTTGCAATTTGTGATTAATGTTATTTTTTCAAAAATGCCTTCGTATTTATTACAAAAAAAAGATGTCACAGCCACTTTAAGCACACACTCTAGGCGTTTTCGCACTGCAGGGCCGGGCGGCCCGGCCCGGCCCGACTTCTAACCCGGGTTCGGCGGTTGTGCATAAGCATAGTAGGGCCGGATCTAGCTCGAGTTCTGGAACCTGGCCAGGCAAGGTTCCAATCGGGCCGGCCCGGTTTGACAACTTATTTGTTTTGCTCTGACGAGTCAAAACGAGTCTGGCAAATTATTAAAAAACATATAGATCTATGAAAAAGCAACTGCTTTCATAACAGTAGCATGTAACAAGCTAATATTGCTAGCTTACTCGTTGATGCCGTCTGCGTCTCGCTATAGCCGCTTTCTGTTGCTGTTGTATGGCCAAGTACAGCCTTCGGAAACTGTCCTCTCTTCTGCGCATCAGCATTCGTCGTCTCACTCGACGTTTAAGGACCGTTATGCGCGTTTTTCCCACTGGGAACTGTTTACCGTTCCCACCCGCTTCGAGGCGGCTCTGATGACAGTGCAAAACATCCAGGGCTGGGCGGGGTCGGCCCTGCAGTGCGTAAACGCCTTCTGTCCACACACGTCCAAAAATGTCTCTATGGGAATCTTAGAAGTGGTTCATCCCAGAGATTCATAACCCATGGGCCGTGGCCCAATTGTGGGCCGCGAGCGCCACCTTGAGGGCCTCAAAAGAACAACAGTTTTTAACTTAGGGCCACAGAGGGCCGCGAGACTGCATTGATTTTGAATAAGGTGCAATACACTTTCTCACCAGTAGTAGCGGTAGTGCGCCACTCAGTTGTTTAACAACTTTTTTAATATGTAGAAGAAGAACCTTAGAAACCTGCCGAGAATGGAAATGTATTTTAAATGAAAAGTAGAAGCAAAAATGAAAGTAACTCGACAAAAAACACCAAAGTTTGTCACTAATATGAAGTGCAGATTCTGTTTTTACCATGCAATATTTTAAAAGTTCAAAACATCAAATACAGTTGCAGATATAACTATATTTTTATTAGTTTTAAATTAATTTTGTCGTTTAATTTTAAACATTTTGAATGCATTTTAAAGAAATTTTTGACTTGTCAAAAAGCTGTTGTTACTGTTATTGTTTGTCACTAATATGAAGTGCAGCTTCTGTTTTTACCATGCAATAGTTTAAAAGTTCAAAACATCATCAAATAAAGTTGCAGATACAAATATATTTTTATTTGCACTTTAAATG